ATTATATATAATTATATAATATATATTATATTTGTGTGTGCTTGTGTATGTGTGGTTGCACATGTGTGGGTAGGGGTGTGTATGTGTGTGTCTCTGTGTGTAGAGGCCAGAGGACAACCACAGGTGTCATTCTTTAGGTGCCATCTACCTTATTTTCTAAAACAGGTTCTCTCAGGCCTGGGACACACCAAGTGGGCTAGGCTGGCTCATCAGTGAGCCCTGGGGATCAGTGTGTCTCTGCCTCCCCAGCATTGGGATTAGAAGCTCACACTACCATCCTGGCTTTTTAAAAAAATAATGTGGGTTCTGGGGATCATACTCAGGACCAACTGAGTCATCTCTCTAGCTGCCCCCCTACCCCTTTTTGTAGTGCTAGGAATTGAACTTAGGGCCTCACACATGCTAGGTAAATGCTCTACCACTGAGCTGTTTCCCCAGCCCTAATTCTTAAAATTAGTCTTGAAATGGAGTTTTGTAGAGGGTGGCACAAAACATCAGGCCTTAATTTGAGTGAAAAAGTCTACTGGTGTTGACTCTGACTGCAGTTAGAATGGGGTGATTGGGGTAAACTCCTGGGATGCCCAGTGAAGAGTTAAGAAGGTGAAGAAGGTACTCAAGCATCCTTCAGAGCAGGAGGATTAAGAAGAAGCATTCAGAGAAAGTCTTTGGAGCAACCAGGCAGTGGTGGGGCCAAGGCCCTTGAGATCAACTCAGCTGGTCCACAGCACAAAGTGAAGGGTCAGGATTGTGGAGGCAGCAGCTCTGTGAGAGAAGAAGGGTAGCTCTGCCTCATACCATGGAGATGACAGGTTATCACATGGGTAGGGAGAAGAGACAAGCAGATTTATATGCTGACTTGTCAGCACACCCTTTTTGATGAGATATGGAAATGAGGCAATTTCCTATGGTCCTTTTCCAAGGAAAACTACAAAATGCCAAGAAACACAGAGTCAAAATGGCAATACTCATCTCCCACAGGAGGTGGTAATCAATCACATCTGGCACAAATATGACCATTTCCCAGCTACACAAGATGAAACAAAATCCATACTACAACTCGTTCTAACATGAAAATTTGGAAGAATTTGGGTGTATCTTGTGGAAGACAAGTATAAAGGGACAAAAAGAGGCAGCACTCCTGCTGGAGCCCTACACTTACGCTCAGAGAAATGCACTGCATGGGGGGGTTCTGACACTTGTTTTTAAAGGATTTTTTTTTGGTCTCTTTTGAGACAGGGTCTCCCAGTAGCCCCAGTTGGCCTGGAACTCACTATGTAGACCAGGCTGGCCTCGGACTCACAGAGATCTGCCTGCCTCTGCTTCCCAAGCGCTAGGATTAAAGGTGTGCGCCACCAACCCCCCACTATTTTTTTTTATGTGTATGTGTGAGTATCTGAATGTATGTAGGTACATCACGTGTGTGTCTGGTACCTGCAGAAGCCAGAAGAGAGCATTGGATCCCCTGGAACTGGAGTTACAGGTGGTTATGAGCTACTTGATATGGGTGGGAACTGAACTCCAGTCCTTTGCAAGAGTAACAAGAGCTCTTAACCATTGACCCATTGCTCCAGCAGTGACATCGTAAAGCAGTGCCATCAAACCACGAGGCATAGGACTCTTGAGAGTCTGATAGTCACTGGTAAGGGGTAAGAAATCTGCTCATGCTTCCAAGAGAAAATCTGTGACTGTTCTTGTGCTTGGTGACCTCTTTGTTGATGGTAATTGGTTGAAAATTCTGGAGGTACAGTTCCACCTCAGTAAAAGGGTTTTTTGGGATCCTCTCCCCCAAATAAAATGATTTGGGCATTAGGTTTGAGGTCCAGGGCCCAAGCCTGAAGGATGTTAAGAAGTAGATGATTTGGGCATGGGAAAGTTAATCATAACTATGATGACAATTACAAGCATTAATGGAATGTTTATCAGGCAACCAGTACTGTGCTAAGTGCATTATGGGGATCTTTAGAAGTTCATATGTTGTTAGTATTTTGCTTTTATCTGGAGGTTTTTCCTGAAGAACAAAAATCAAAATGTCATAAAAAGTCTGCTTGAGGCCTACTAAATCCATCAAGTTGGAAATAAGTGATATAGAAATCATGGTATGTGTTAGGGTATTATTTGCTTGCTCAGGGGACATAGCCTTATTAAGTCTGAAGGGACAAGTAGGAAGTGGCCTGGCCTTTGTTGGCCAAAGTAACTTCTGACAGGGCTCAGGATTTCCATTGTTTTTCAATCTTCTATTTTTTATCGGTTCATGCATCCATTTGTAAACTTGTTAAGAAGTTTGTTGAATGCCTATGTAGAAATAGGCATATATACTCCTGTCTTCTTGGAGTTTATAATCTAGTAAGGGGAAATCCTGTAAACTGTTTAAGATTTCAGATGACCAACTCGCCTGTCTTGCCTATTTTTTAGTACTGATAGTCCTGGGTGCCAGAAAAACCCTCAGTCCTGGACAAACTGGTAAAGTCATTCACCTACCCAAGAATAGTCATTCTGCTACACTGTGTAATGACTAGGAATCTTTAAGTGCTATGTACAGAATACTCTTGACCACTGGAATCTAAGTCTACTGATTTTGAGACAATAGCTAAGCTTCTGTTAGTTAGCTGAGATGTAGAAGTGATTGCCTTTCAATTTTCCTTTTTTTTTTTTTTTTTTTTTTGTTTTGTTTTGTTTTTTTGAGACAGGGTCTCCCTGTAGCCCCAGCTGACCTGGAACTTGCTACGTAGACCAGGCTGGCCT